CGAGGTCGGAGGTTAGGGGTTTAGGGTTTAGGGTTTAGGGTTTAGGGCTTGTAGGTTCATTGCCTTTTTCAAGCCTGAAATTGAAATTGGTGTATTAGAAAATGAGAAGGCTGTGTCCGACCGAAACAAGTGGTTTCCCGCATGGCCAACAGCATCAAGCAATTTATATTTATTGCTTTCTTGAGGGATTAGCGTTTCGGGCTTGGGGTTTAGGGCTTAAAGTTAAGGGTTTAGGTTTTAGCCCTAAGCGCTAAACCATGAACCGTTTGAGGGCTGAAGAAGTAGAGACATCCCCGAGTAATCCTTACGTGACTCTAGCTAAGATACCTGAAACCTTCTGAACTATTCGGGCACCTAGGGGTTTAGGGTTTAGGGTTTAGAGACCTATGTACAGTTCGAAGCCACAAGCTACTAAGTCCCATGATCCTCCAAGTAAGGTCAGCATCCGTCCTCAGTATGAGCAAGAAGCCTGGAGTGGTACTCGACTGCAGCTTCGGCGATGGCAGCGGGGCGAGACAGGACTGGAGTTGGTGGTGAGTCTGTATGTCATAAATCTCCTTCTCTTGGGATCTTTTCTCCAAATCATTTGCGTGCACCGGAGGGTTTAGGGTTGACAGCTTATAGAGTTTAAACTGTTATTTTTGTTCGAACTCAGTTGCGTGTGCCAGCCCCTCCACAAACGACTGCCTCCGCTTTGGGGTTCCCGGTCACGTATGATTTCCAGAGTGTTGACTTTGGTCAATTGGATCGAGCACAAAGCATTTTCTGCGCCCATTACGGTGCAGCACCCTGGCAACCGTCTACAAACACAACCCTGCCTTTATCGATCCGAACCTCAGGCACAATGAGGCTGTGCGGAGAAAGCAGCTGGAGATGTTGGCTTTCCCACGGATGATTGCGCCCACGAAAAGCCAAATAGCCATCGCAAACTTCGCGAAGGTCGCGAAGATCAAGTGCCTGCACAAGGTCGTGCTAGTGCGAGGAGTGCATTCCGGCAGCCGCGCGGCATCCTGAACCGCAAAGAGCACCGAGCTCGCAGAGAATGTGTCCCTCAGCCGAAGGTCACTGTGCCTGGTCGCCCAGGCTGTGCACATTCTCGCCTGCAGCTTGGTTTAGGGTTTAGGGTTCAGGAGCACACGGGATGTCTGGAAATCATGACGGGGCCCGTCTGCTGCGCCTGAAGGAAAGCCGGAGTCCTGGATTTCGGATCTACGGGACAGGATCATAGGCGCAAAAGTTTGTATGCTGCTCCCCGACCGAGACCCCCAGCCTTGCCAAGACCCTGACCTTGCATCCTAAACCGGAGACGTACGGGGAGGGCCGAATCTCACTCAAGACTAGAACCTTTTGGGATCCAGGGCATCGTGCTCGGAGAACAGTAAAATTCTTGCATAAGTTGGCCCCGGCTAAACCCTAACCCTAAACCCTAAACCCTATTCTACTTGTTAAGGTCCCTACCCTCCATTGCATGGAGCCTCTTAGGTTTATAAAGAAACCCTTATAGATCCCTTTAAGGAACCCTAACAAGGGGACCCTAATTTAGAGAAGTGTCGAGACCCTCCGCTGTTTTTCCTTGTACAGAGCTTGCAGACTTTGGGTCGAAAGATGAGCCGACGCTTTTGGCCTAGTACAAGGGGCCTTAATGGGTTTAGGGTTTTAGGGTTTAGGGTTGAGGGTTTAGGGTTTAGGATTAGGGTTGAGGGGCTTAGGTTAAGGTCACCGTTCAGTCCACCGAGTTGTCACTTGAAGCGTCGTTTTGCCAGGGTTTAGGGTTTGGGGGTGCTTTCTGTGGTAAAGGGCACAGCTTGACACTATGTTTTGCAGGGTCCAGGTAAGCTCTAAACCCTTAACCCTAAACTGAATGCCCTGGACTGGAGCAGGCTATCCGCTGGTCGATGCAGCCATGCGCCAGCTCTGGAAAGTGGCGCAACTGATAGAGATGTTGCCACATGTGTTCCGGGTTTGGGGGTTTTGCATTTTGGAAACTCGTTTTCCAATCCGCAAAAAAAGTATGTCAAACGGGGTCGCAGCAAGCCTTGCAGCTGTTCGGTGCAGGGTGCGGCAGAGGCTGAATTTCTTGGCACACTAGAGCTTCAAAACCGTAAAGCCGAAAGTTGCAATCTGTCGGTGCAGCTTGGCTCACTGTGCTGGCGATGTATGCGTGGCAGAGCTGCTTCAGCTAGGAGCACCCTCGTGTCGAAAGAGCTCGACGCATCGAAGACCCGAAATACAGAAGGCTGAATGCCTCCTCGTCCCGGTCACCAACATCCCTCATATCGGGTCCCAAGCCTTTTTGGGGGGACTTAGATAACTAGGTGCTGGTTGTCCCTAGATCAATATGCTTTAGTATACCTCAGTCCCGACAATGACTACCAAATGCCTCTTCTGCTCGCAAACCTTTAAAACCCTGGCAAAGCCCTATTCTATAGGTCCCTATGTGATACAGTTCGACAAGACTCAGAAACTCTCCCAACTACTACCATACATAAAAACTGCCCTAACCCCCAGCACCTAAGTACTCGGTCCTTTGGGACCTTGTGCAACCCTTATAGTAGCTTATCAGCACCCGATAACTTTCTATTGCATGAACGAGCACAGCTGGGTAAACCTCCGAACCCCTAGGCCGTAGTAGAGGGGCTTACAGGATTGTAAAAACAACGATCCTGCAGGGCTCCAAAGCAGAAAGATAGCCTGATCTACCCCAAAGCCACATGCAGGCCTCCCCCCCAAGCACGAGTCCTTCCGGAAAGCATTTTCGCCGCCCTAACCCCCCCCCCCCCCCC